AATTAATAATTAATAAAAGCATTATTATTATTCACCGAAGTACTGAACCACCACTACTACAGCGGCAATGGGGTTGGTGGGAAGACAAGGGAGGGAGGGAGAGAGAGAGAGAGAGAGCGGGAGAGAGAGAGAGAGAGGTTGAATATTTAGGTTAACTTGGGTCATTTACAAAAAATTGTAAGGATATTTTGGACATTGGGCCGGCTCTGAAACGCGTCTGAGCGCATTAAGAACCGGCCCAAGGTCTATGATTTTCAAATCTTAAAATCAGTTTCAGACCCATTTAAGAGATATAACCAAACAAGGGGTGAGGTCTGAAAAGTAGCATTTTCAGATTCAGGCCTCTAAAAAGAGCAATCAAATGGCACTTTAATAAGGGCAAAAAAGGCTTTTTTTATGATCCTATTAAACATAACAATCATAGGGGACGCCTAACTCCAATTTAAAAAATGAGGAAAGATTTTAGTATTTACCATTAATCTCAAGGGTGGTTTAAGTCTTTTACCCAAACTAATTTAATTACTTAATTCATTTACTTATCAGACTTTGTCTTAATTCATTTAAATGTTTAAATTTCTTTTTAATCCCTTCTATCATCAGATATTGTATTTTCTCATTCTTTGCACGTGCCTGATTATTAACTAAAATAACCAATCAATCAAATTAATTGAACCGGATATTTAGTATACGATGCACATTAACAAACGACATGTAGAACCTGCCTTCAACGAGTTATGATCAATTCACATTCTCACGTTGAGGCATTCTCTTACTCTGGCTTTAAAAGAAAGTGGAGTGGGTTGATCCAAAAAACCTTCAACTAGAGGTGTAATGTGGATCATGCCGGATCGGCACAGCCCATAATGTATCGTGCCAATTCATGAATCTCAAAACCCTGACCCATCGACGGCCTAGCCCACTTTACACCTCTAACTTTGACTCTCGAAATAAAGACAACGTACGAATCAGTGAAATGCAAGTGGTTGATTGAAGCAGTTGGACAATTATTTTCTGTTGCTTCCAAGTTAAATAGCCCTGCTTATTATTGCTCATCATCATCAGTCCTATCTTCTACCACAACTGTTGAGTGTTGACTCACGGAACCAAACAGCATACACGACGATTCCATTCTGTCCTGAGGCCCTCCACGGCCTTGCTCATTTTGGAGATCGGCTTCTGATGTGGGGTGGTCCAATTCAGCGCATTCGTGGCTGGGAGGCTCAGCCCATGAGTGCTAGACCTGGAAACAAGATCCGCTACAATAGAAGTTATTTTGCTCCCCTCGTACGGAGTCAATCGCAAAGTGCCCACCCGTTCCCATAGAGCTCTCTGACTGCTCTCGTACGACACCCATCTTAGGCATTCATAACCACCTACCTCCAGGCAACTCAAGTATAAATAGGGTGCTCCCTTCCAGGTAAAGGGGATGGAACACAATCGTCGTCTGGATTTGGAACTGGTGTCAAAACTATATTCTAGTTCCCCTCTTCGTACCCCATACTAATTTAACTATCGGAGACTCTGCCTCGGGTTCTCACCCGGGGCCTCTGACGTATTCTGTCTTGCAGTACCCGGGCCCCCTCCGCCTCGGCTTGGATACCTCGGCCTCGGCAATAACCTCTCCGAACCCTCAAAGCCTTAGGCCATCCTCAGGAGCCTAGGGACGGAATTACCTTGTTGTCATCGGCCAATCCGAGCACCAACAACTGGTGTCGTCTGTGAGAAAAGTCGCTAGGACGTTTCCTAAAAGAACATTAACAAACTAGCAAGTCCCCAAGCTCCAACCAACCAACATGGTACGAAAAACAAGAAATACACAAAATCTTGTCACTAGTGAACAATTTCAGGCCGTGCTCGACTGCCTGGAGTACTTAGTCGAGCAAAACCACCCCAGGGTGACCGCCTCGCCGGGGAGTCAACACAGTCGGGCTGGCATGGGTCCACCAGCCAATCGGCCCCAAGCCTCAACCATGCGTTGCAGGTTGAGCCCACAGAGTCTAGTAGTAGTTGTCCAGCCAACTTGCTCTCCCAAATCACCAGACCTCCCAACCGAAGGGAGGATAACTCCAGACCTCCTAGATGAAGGGAGGAAGAATCGAAACGGTCAGAGGATAGCCGTCAGCCCTACGAACAGCACCACCGATGCCAAAGGGCCAATCCGAGGGATGACGGCGGACGCCGCGATCACCCCAGTGCTCACTCCAAGCAGAGGGCCAACGTCGAGCCTCTTTCCCTCACGTCTCGGACCTCCAGGATGTCATGAACGACCACTATGATAAGCGCGAAGCATACGGTCTCAACTCCGAGCACTCTGGAGTTTGTGCCGAGCACCATCATGTCTGTGAAGACCGGGATGGCACGCATGCCATGCCCAATCCCATGTTCGCTAAACTCCGAGCCGAGCTCATTGCTATCAAATCCAAGCTCCGACAAATTAAGGAGGGTCGAACTGACACCTCTACCTCCAAACGTCAAAGCTCCCGCCTTGGAGATATACGACGGGAACACTGACCCAGACGAGCACTTGGAGAGCTTCAGGGTGCTCATGATCCTATATAGATATTCTAACGCCTTGACGTGCCGGACTTTCCAGGCGACCTTCAAGGGAGCCGCTCGGCGGTGGTTTTCAAACCTCCCACCTTGATCCATCAACTCGTGGGTACAGTTTTCCAGCATTTTCCTTGCACGCTTCGTCAGTAGCCGGCGCCCCCAGAAAAGTGTTGTCTCGCTGATGACCGTCAAGCAGAAGTGATGAGAGAGTCTAAAGTCATACATCGACCGCTTCAAGAAAGAAGAACTCGAGGTCTGCAATCTCAACCCTCTTGTCTCCATGCATGATGCCATCAACGGGTTCCTCTCCGACTCGGTCCTCAAGTGCTCTGTTGCCAAAAGCCAACCAAAGATGAAGTTAAAGTTCCTAGAGAGGGCCCAAAGAGAGAGGCACAGAGCACCAAGACTGAGCCTCTAAGAAGAAGAGGAAGAACAGGGACCAGGGCCACGGCAACAACTTCCATTAAAGCATGCCCATTTCCACACCATTCTATTCACGTTTTGCAATCTTGTATTGGGAATATTTTCTTATAAAATAAAATACAAAAGCCCACACCATTTCAATCCCCTTTTGCAATCTCGCATTGAAAATATTCTCCATGAAATAAAATACAAAAATGGGAGATATTCTCAAAACAAGGTTGTAAAGGCTGTTCCAATGGGCTTTGCCTTGATTGAAGCCGAATCCTCATTTTGTTATTCTAGCTAGACACAGAAATGACAACATGACATGTACAAAGTTTTAAAAGTAAATATTTTGAAAAACCTACGATGCCAAAAAGATACGGTACCAAAAGAGCTTTGATTACTGAAAACCCATATGTGACTGAATTTTAATCCACCTGATTGATTAACACATTTATGCCACAGATTGATTGATTGATTATAACTTTTTTTAGACATCATTGTCTTTCAGGTAACATAATTGAATCTTTATTATTAAGTATTAACTCAAAATCCAAAATTCCAAATCGATTACTATTCCTTTTCCTGTTATCCCATAAAATTAAATTCCTCTTTTATGGTGAATTGGAGGTTATATAAGACTTGTTTTCGCTTTTATCTGGCAGGCATGAATTACAGAATATGGTTTTAGGTCTAAGCAATATATTATAGTCTATAGATATCCCACCCTGAAAGAACAATCTAAAAACAAACGAACCAAATATAATGGTGCTAAAGATGAAAGAGTAAAATGAAAACTGTTATAATATAAATAAAGCTGGTAAATATGTAATTTAACCTTCATAATCTGTGTGTAGGATTGGACCAATATGGCACTCTCCTCTACTTATCTGCACTAATGTTGGTATACCGTTTGGTTGGATAAGATTAATTCATTGATCTCCTGTCTGAAAAAAATAAGGATAAATTTCTTAAACTATCACTAAAGTTTAGGAAATTGACTAACTAGACCCTTATTATTTTAAGAATCAATAATGGCTTAATTGTCTTAAAAAATAAAAGAAAAGAAGAAAGATATGTGGTTACTTCGCACTTGTGTGTTCATATATTCTACCACAAGGAAAACTCAACTCTAACCTGCTTTCACTTTTGAGATCCACTGATTTATTCATCATCATCATCAATTCTACAAACTAGATTATTGGTTCAGCTTGGTAGATCAATTAGATGGCTTAAATTAGTTGAAATCGCCAATCGAGAGGTGATTCAGTTGGCACGTTAGATGTATTTTTTCAATAGACAAGTGAATTCAATTCTCACAACCACCGAACTTTGAAAAAAGAGATATTATTAGTGTGGTGTGCACTATTCAAATAGCCCCCCATGGGGATCCCTATCACCAAAATACCAAAGGAGACAATAGTTGAAATCTTGTTAAATCAATTAAATGATCTACGAATCCCTTTTACTGGCGCCTCGGAACTTAAGCTTGGTTTGGAATGCTGTTTGGATAGACCATATTAGTAGAAATCCAGGTTATCACTTGTATGATTCAACTTATTCTTGCCCTTATTTCTCTGTCCATTTCCATTTAAAAGCCCCACCCTCAGCCATCCCCCATGTCATCAATACTTTGACATAAGCAGTCTAAGCCTGTAAGGAGTTAATTTCTTTGGAATACACTGCAGTAGCTCACTGAAGAAATATGAAATTACAGCCCCCCATAATTTATTAGTAGCTCCCCTATAAACCGCATCCTGCCCATGATTTGGCATCAATCCACAGTCAAAATTCATTCCACCTGTCGATAGGGCTAAAAATTTTGAGGTGGGCTGAACAGTCACTCTCCCTAAACCGCTTCCTTTCGAGTTTTATCACCAGTTGACCAACTCCCATCCGTCGGGGACCTCGAGCTCGAGGCCCAAATGAATGATGAACGAATGAAAAACTCCTCATCAATTATGACTCGCAACAATTCTCACCTTTCACTATCATTCTCACCAGATGTATTTCTTGCATTATAAATATTAGTTTCTCACTTCACCTATCAGAAAAAAAATGAATATTTCTTTCAAAGAACTCAAACAAAAGCATTTTGTTTCTCTCATAACACCATGTTTTCGACCTACTTGACTGATCCCCATTAATGTATAACTTAAACAACAAAGTTAATAGCAACTCGATTCAATTTGCAGGATTTAAGGAACAACAAGAACTCAGAAACATTTTACCAAAATCTATCAATCCCTACAAAGCCTTAAAAACAAAGATCTGCTTAATTCTCTACCACATCTGCAGTATGTTCAACGCTTTCCACCACCACCTCCAAGTTTGGGGCCCTTAGGTCCAGCACCCTTGGGCAAGGTACCCTTGCTTTGAGTCTTCTGCGTCTTTGACATTATTTCTGCTTTCTTTGCCTTCTTTTCATCCTTGGTCTTCTTGATCCTCTCCTTGATTTCCCTGGCATAATATCAAGGCATTCAGTGGCAATAAAAAATAGTTCGGATTTGACACATGTCCACTTGCTTACTGCCGACTGCTACTGGCAAATAAAAAAATGAAGCCCTTAGACACATGGCAAACACCCTATTCTAAAACTGATTATGATAAAAAAAGTGTTGATCACTGTTTTTAAAACGGGACCAGACGGCCGGACTGGAAAAACCAAGAACCGGTCACCTGACCGGTTCCACTTTCCTCTAAAACCACTTTTTCCTCCAAAACCGTTGATTTTGGTCAGCAAACTGCTGAACCGGCCGGTTAACCACTTGAACCGTTTTGACTGTTTTCCAATTTTTTAAATTTTTTATTTTTTTGTCAGAACAGGTTGGCCTTTCGGGTCGAATAGTCGGACCATTCGAACCGGTGACCAGACCCCTGACTGGTTCTGTCACTGGTTCGTTTTTAAAAACCATGGTGTTGATAGAGATACCCATCGTAAAAGTTCTAACTGAAACCTAAAGTTGCCATCAATGAATTTGGGCCCCATGCTAAATCTCATAAAGAAGCAAAACTGATTAAGATACTTCTAATTCGAAACCAAAAAAAAAATGTGTTGATAGATATACCATCCTAAAAGTTCTAACCGAAACCAAAAGTTGCCATCAATGAATTTCGGCCCCATGCCAAATCTCATAAAGAAGTAATATTTATCCTACACAAGCCCCTCTCTTTATATAACTCCTCAACCCAAAAGAAAAGGGTGTTATTCCCTATCAGATACAAAAAAAAAAAGAATTGGGAATGTGGAATCAGGGTTAAGGCCGTCAATGGGTCGAGTCTACCTGACAGAACAGAACCGACCAAACCCATTATGTCAGCTCTGGTTCTGCTCTTTTGTCTTTGATTAACCATTGGGGTGGCTGGCTCTAATTAAAAGAACTTAACAACAAAAAAACGGTTAAAAATATTCAGTTGTTATTTATCAGAGGCTGATAATATCTTTGGGAGCTGAGCACAAGATCATTTGCTAGTAGTGGAATGAAATTTTAGGGGAAAACCACAAACAGTGAATAACAGCAGATTACTAAGCATACCGCAGGGCAGCCTCCCTCGCAGCATCTCGGACCTCAGCCTTTTCAGTTCTCCTCTTCTGGATCACCTCCAAGGTAGCACCCACAATGGACCTTGAGTAAGGTTTTTTAGTGGTCCGACGCCTCTTCTTTACAGCCTCAGCAGCAATGTCCTGTGAGTACAATAGGAATTGAATTCAGGTTAACTACAACGAACCAAATAAACAATAAAGTGAATAGCAGCAAAGATGAGTTTGCTAACAAGAGAAAAAAAAAATGAACTTGCATTTCAATAATACAGTTACCTTCTTATGCTGCTTCCTGTACATGGCTGTCCAGGTAAGCTTCGATGGCTTCAGTCGGTTGTGGAAGTACCTCTTGCACTTTGAATTGGCAAAGAGGAAAACCTAAGTTGAAAAATCAAGAAAGTCATTCAGTATGAAATTGGTCACACACAGAAATACATGCTGACAAAAACAAGAAATAACTATGAAGTGAGTGCACTAGTCAATACATACCAAAGAAGAGGAGAAAAAACAAAAAAAAATGGCATTAAAATCTTACCTGCGAATCTGAACGAACAAATCTGATACCCTTACCAGGATATATCTTGGCACCGCTGAAGCGGCAGAGTTCAGTCCTGAAATGCCACAAGTGCAGAATATAAGATCTAGCAATTATAGGTGCCGTTTTACTTTGTAATCACATCTAACTATATGGGCGCTCAAGTACCAACCCAGAAAGCCATATGGACACACAGTAATTCGTGTGACAATCTGCATGGTGCTCCATGCTCCATTAAATTATTCATCTAGTTATTTGTAGTTTGTCATTAAATCAAAACTCGGATGCTAGTTCCCCATTATTGAACACTAACACCAAAATCCAGAGTTATTGAAAGGCAGCATCAAGCATGTTGCACTAGTTGATCACCCCCAAAAGAGCTATACCAGAAATCCATAGTCTTACAAGTAATAACTTGTGCAATGGTGAATATCTAGCAATGCCCCTTTCCTTCTCTGGTGACAATTAACACATAGTGTGGATGTTTGAGATTTAGAAGACATAACATCAACAGTAAGACCAAATTTAAGTTTGAGTAGCAAACAAGTGCTTGTACATTCTGACTACAATGATAAATAACTAATTTAACTACTTGTTTGGATTGAATAAACAATGCGACCTTAAGGCTGTGTTAGTTTGTGATACAAACGCAAATATGTTCCATGCATAAATACCTTTTTTCGGTTCAAGGATGCAAAGTACGTTTTAAATTCTAACCCATTTTTGTTCTCTTCCTGTTTGTTTTAAATTGATGCAAAAGGCTGTACAATGGTCTCTCTCCAATTGAATCAGATCAGCTCAAGATTCAAAAAATACAAATTTGTACCCAAAAAGTAGGTACAGTAATGCACTCTCACACTACAAAAATGTCAAAAAAGATATTTTTCCTCTCCTAATCGTTGCATTTTTGTATTTCAAACAAACACTCAAAAATCTGAACCGGGATGCATAAAAACCCAGGTTCTGTGTTTGTATCACAAACAAATACAGCCTAAAAAGATAACATTTACAGAACCAATTAAGGATAAAATAATAACCAAACAACCTATTGATATCATCATCAAGGATAACTAAAATCACCACAAAGTTATGATTGAATTTAATTAACTTTAAATTAGTTCAGTTATCCAGATCCCTGTGTTAAGCCACAAACAGTCAGCAATAGGAAACATCATCARGGTTTTGGTATGGTAATCTATTAGGAAATCTTAACTGAAATGGAAATAAACACAATTTCAAAATATAAGTTATGGGCAAATTATTAAATCTAAAAGGTCGTTAAATCGCAACAAGATTACGATTAAGAGTGAATCTTAAATTCTTATATCAGTTCGATTATCTAGATTTACGTGGTGACCCACTAGTTTTTTAGCGAAGATACCATTGTAAGGATCTTAATACAGTAATGGATGCAATTATAAAATAGAAGTGATTGGTAAACGATTGAATCTAATAATATCCTAAACATTATCAAATATTGAGACTTTGAGAGAAAAAGGAACCAGACAAAATCAATAGCTGACTCACAAAATTCATAAACCTCAAAGCTCATCCCCAATGATCGAGACAAAGTTCAGAAAGAAACCCCATTTGAGTACATATCTAGAAGATGTATTCATGAAATACAGTTCGCATTAAAGACCCAGTCCTAAACCTACGACTTTTGATATCATGTAATCGGTTTCTGGAGATTCCTAACTTCCCAACAAGAAATTCAAAAATAAAATATGAGCGAAAGAGGGAGATAACAATCATCAGAATAATCGATTAGTCGAAAGGCAGAGCATGATTTTAACGGAGGATGGAACTTGATTTCACAAAGAGAAAAGAAAAGGAAAAGGAAGGAGAACGTACTTCAGAACCATGACTGCTGCTGCTGTTGCCTCTCTACCTCTCCGCTCGTTGCAGCAACCCTAAGAGCCAAAACCCTAAAAGCGCCGAACTGATGAAGTATAGAACTGAACAACCTAAAACGTTATGATGGAATAGAATAGGATCCATATTGCAGATTTCAGATCTATAGCACAAAGCTTTGGATTGGAATCTTTGTACAGAACACAATAAATTGTATACGGGATCTGCTGGAGTACATCGAAAATGCATACATCATTTACACATTTTATTTTAAAACGTTGGATTATAATATATTCACATGGATATGAAGAAATATGATCAACTCGCGATTAAAAATAGACAAAATGCAATCTATCGGAGGCATCGCACGAGCTGGGCTTGGGTTTTTCGAATGAAGGCTGGGCTCATTGAGCTTGAGTTGGAGCATGAGAAGGTACTAGGTAGGTCTAAGCTAAAATCGAGCCAAGCCCAACCCAACCCATATATGCAATCTTTTATGAAATATATTTATCCCATATATGCACTTATTTAAATATACAAAATACCTCACTTGAGGAATCAAATTGACAAATAAAACTAGGCCTAAACTATGCCCAAAGCTTGAGGCCAAGGTTTCGTGTAGTGATCAGGCTGGGTTTGGTTTGGGTTCAGGTTGGCCCCATTTATTTTCATTTTTTTATGGTTATAATGTACTTGTTTCTTAGATTGAAGATTAGTGCTCATGCGCAACTGATTTAGAATATTATGTCTACAATATCAAAGTTATGGTGCTCTTGGGTAGGAGTGTCAATTGGATTGGATTTCGTCCAATCCTATCCGGTCAAATGAGAGTCCATTATAAAAGACCAAGTTCAAACCAATTTAATGAATATTTTAGACCATTTCGGATTGGTTCAATTTAATGTTTGGACTGTCCAATCTGTTCAAATTTGTTTTAATTTAGATTAACTAGCGGAGGGGGGGTCTTGTGTTGCAGGGGCTCGCTCATAAACTATCATGCTTGAGTTCGATTCAAATTAAAGACTTGAGCATGAGCTTGAGCATGGTTAGAGTAAAAAGCTTGAAAGTTTGAGCTCGGCTACCTTTGGTTACAAGTCTCTCAAGCAGCCGAGGTGCCGAGCTAAGGTTTTGAGCAGAGGTCTCCTTCAATTGCCGAGGTTCCAAATCGAGGTCTCCATCCATTGCTGAAGTGTCGAACTAAGGTTTCCCTATCAGGCAAGGTGTTGAGCTAAGGTCTCCCTTAGTTGACAAGGGGCCGAGTTGAGGTCTCCCTTATTTGTCGAGGTGTTGCACCGAGATCTCCCTCAGTGATCGAGGTGCTGAGCCAAGGTCTCCCTCAGTGATCGAGGTATCGTCTAGCTTGAGGTTGATTTGGATTAGAGACTTAAGCTTGAGCTCAGAAGTTTGAGCTCGGCTCGACTTGAACTCGACTACCTTTGGTTGCAGGTCCCCTAGTAGCCGAGACGCCGAGATGAGGTCTCCCTCAATTGGAGAGAGAGTGGCATTATTGTAATTTATAAGGAGAGAGATGACAGGAGAGAGAGAGTTGGTAGGAGCATGATTTTCAAAAAATCGCTGACCCGGGCGATCGGATCGATAAACCGTTCGACCCGGGCAGCGGTTCGTGGGTTAAATTTTTATTTTTAATGTCTTAAATAAAGAAAACAAAAAATAAAATACCCATTATGTCCCAACCAGTTCGAATCCTTATTCAATTTCCATTTAGCTTTAGGGTTATTTCCCATTTTCTCGAATTCCCTCCTCACTCCTCTCAACCCTCACACCCTACCGACTGATCACCTACGGTGGCCATCACCTCCGGCGATACACATCGACGGCGACCAGCAAGCTTGTAGTGGCGAAAAGTAACCCTCACCCAGCATTTGCAGTGGCATCCAACGGCGAGAATATCCAACACTTGCAGCGACAGACGGCAAGCTTGCAGTGGCAGACGGTGAGCTTGCAGCAGCACTCAGTAGCGGCACTTAGCACTCGGCATTTGCACTGGCGAGCCCAAGCCCGACTTGTAGGCTTGTAGCGGTAGTGAATCCACTTGGCACTCAGCACTTGCAGGCTTGCAGTGGCAACTTGCCTACGACCAAGCTCGACTGCTCGAGCCCACCGGCGGCGAATCCACTATCCACCATTACCAACACAAGGCAGTGAAACCCTAAAGGTATAATTTCTTTTGTGATTTAATTGATTTTTTGAATTTTTTATTCATTTGTTTCATAGCCCCTATTTGTTCTTCATTTGGTTCATCATTTTGCTTTGGACCTGCTAGGCAGAGGCTTTTAGTGAATACTTTATAGTTTATAATTAGGAGCAGCAAACAATAAGTTAATAGATTTATTAGCAGAAAATTGTTGCTTGTATTTTTTTATCAGTTTCTTGTTGATTATATGCCTCGTTGAACCTCAAACTTTGTTTGATGATCAAATGCTTAGATCTTTGTTTAATTAATCTGGCTTAATTTGTTTTTAATTTTTATATGCATATTTTGCTTAATTTTCATATGATGATCTAATGCTGAAAATTTTGCTTAAATTTTTGCAAGCAATTTACTCTCATTTCTAATGGAGTGATTTTTGAGTTGGGTTTCTTTGATCGAACTAAGATGATGGAATCTCAAAGTCCAAATGCTAATACATCTGATCCAGCTCCATCACAAGAGCCCATTTCATCAAATGTTAGGGGAAAAACTTATTCTTCTTGGGAGCATGTTTCCCTTAAATTTGACCCTCTTAATGGATCAAAGTCAATGACATGTCCTTATTTTCAAAAGACTTTTAAAGGGGGAGGGATTAATAGGATGAAACAACATATTTCCCAGAGGAAAGGTATGATTGCAATTTGTTATAAAACACCCCTAACACTTTTTTGTTTTGTCATTAGGAGTATTTGTTTTCTCATTAGGCCCATGATTTTTTATTCCAAAAACACCCCTAACACTTTTTTGTATAGATAACAAAATTAGCCAAATTTAGCCAATATAGTGGTTGCCCGTGTCTTATTAAGGGCAAAAATGGCATTTTTATTTTTTTATTAAATTTATTTAAATGAACATTAGGGTCAACACTATCAATTTCCATTGTCATCTAATGGAAGATTGATTAAATCCGTTGCAAATTATAAGTGGCGTTTTAGTAAAATTCTAACTATAGGATAGATTTTAGTAAATCCATGAAACTATGAGAGGTGTTTCATTATATGTCCCTTTCAATTATTTACCTTTTTCTTAATAAATCCCGTGCATCGCACAGATCCCCACTAATTAGAGATAATTTTGGAGAAAGTGAAGAATAGTGGGGGAGGTAGTTTAGGAGAAATTGTAGAAAAGATTATTTAGGTTATTGGGAAATTGCATCTCCTTGGTTATTTCAATAATGACATGGAATTAAAAAATGAAAATTTCAAAAAAGGGAGAAAATAGATAAATAGGTTCTCTAAAAGGAGAGCTATGCGAGAGAGAGAGAGTCCCTCTCTCTCTTCTCCTTCTTCTTTCTCTTCTTCTTATTCTTCCTCTCTTCCCCCTGTTCGTGTCATTTCTCAAACCGCCTATTCTCAATCAAGAAAAAGATTTGCAGCAACAGCAACCCCTCCAATCCATGTGGTAGCGGAGTTTGACGAGGTCGAAAGAGCCCTCGTACTTGTGGGGGGAGGAGAGTACATGGGCTTGGAGCTGTAGACTGTAGAGGGGGTAGAGGAGATGAACATGCAACGATCATGCTCTTGGGTCGATCGAGAATGGGACTCTAGGGATCATAAAGACCGATGTCTCTGCGAACAAACCAATTATATGACCAGTAAGCCATGAACTGGCCCCGATTCATATCTTAGTTGACTCCTAGCTTCCGTGGAGCAATAATATTCTCTACCTTCACTTTATTCCCAACTATTTGATCATAACTTGTCGTCGAAGATACAATCTCAATTTTGGTGAGTAAAATGTAGAGTATTGACAAAAAAAACTCCTCCATCCAACATGTCATTGCCAATGTGGTTAAATCTGCACCCTTTCCCTATCAGTCTGTTCACGAAATGATACTAACATGACACAATGCAGCAATGGCCCAATGCCTTCACATCTCCAATCATGTTCAACACAATTAGAAGCAAAGAGTCTAGTTAGTAATCGACCTCCACCGTGGATGGCTCTAGCTACATTTTCCCATTGAGATCCAATCGATGAGAGGCCATCACAAAACCGGGAGACAAATATATTTTTCCGTGCTAGATCTAGCCAGAGATGTAACATCGCCTAATCATATAACAAGACCAAGTGAGGGAATGAGAGGGATAACGTCATTTTTTGTGTTGCTTACCTGAAATCAATTGGCAACAAAATCTTTTTTTTTTTTGCTCCCCTATCCTCACTCAGTGATCGGTGATTTCATCCATATATCATACAGATTCCAGGGTATTTATGGGTGAAATTCTTCAGCGGTCTCCCTAATTCACAACCATCTCTCTCTCTCTCTCCCTTTCTCTCTCTCTCTCTCTCTCTCTATCTCTATCTCTCTATATCTGGGTGGAATTCTTCAACGACCTCCCTAATTCACAACCATCTCCTTCTTATGAAAAGTGAGGAGAATAGGCAGTCTGAGAACGACACAACGTCGATTTGTAGTTGATTTCTCGTAATCCATTAACATTGGCCTTACGACAAGAAAGGAAGATGGAAGGAAAGAGGAGAGGAAAGAAAGGGAAAGATGGAGACATTGAGAGGACAGAGAGGAATGGGAAGTAAAAGGGTAGTTTAGGAATTTTAAAAAATTTACCAGTCACATGAGAAATTACTCATGTAATTTGAGCAATCACATGAGAATTTTACCAGTCAATTTGAGCAATTATAGTGTTGTATTTCATGCAATTTGAGCAATTACTCAAACACCTTGTAGGCATAAGTGGTTCATGTGTACCTGAAGATATTTTTGGAACCAGCTACCCACTAACCAAACACACGCTATTTAAATGCTTTGCATGGAATTGGTTAGATGAGAACCTTAACCCCGACACCATGAGATAACAATTAAAAATGCTTGAGTTGCTCTTAAGTCTTTCCATCCTTTAAATGAAAAATCATGACAAGCTATTATGAGTTTT